GTTACTTCCTATCAACTTAGCCTTGTACAAAGTTTCATTTTCATCATCAGTAACTTTAATTTGCCCATTTTTACCATAAAATCTTGCTCCATTGATATCCACCCTAGGTCCAGATATTAAATTTCGTCTCAGTTCAGGTGAGTATAACACATCTTTAAGCAAAATAACCGTATCCCCAAATTTCATTTTAACAGTACCCTTCCCATGAATTGGAAAAGTTACCCCATCAATAGCTACTAGCATATTCTCATTTTTCACAGGAGAAAAAGTATCAAACAATTCACGATTTTTACAAAAATGATGAGATGCAGCAGTATCAAAAATCCAACTATCATCATTTTCCTTCCAAATTGTTAACATTAGGCTTGAGCTATAAAATGGGACTGAGCATGGGAATTATTTTTACCTTTACTCAACTTGGGTTTATTCTTACACTTAGGAAGATGTTTTATTACTACTAGATACAGCTGAGGAAACAGAAGAAGCAGGTGAGGGTGATCTGGAAAAATTACCTTTCATTCTACAGTATTTTTGAATATGACCTGGACGGCCACATTTATAACACTTGAGCCCTTTAATCTGCTTAAATTTGTGTTCACAGTGAGTACTTTGGACTTCTATAGTCTTATTGGAATTTTCCCTATCTATCTCTCTTAAACCAAGACGCGTTTCCTCTGCTAGTATTTCAAGTTCAACATTTTTAAATATGAACTTTTCATCTGGCCACCTCAAAACATTCTGAACTACTTGATCAAATTTATCTGGAAGGAACCTAACCTAAGAAACTGGAAACATATATATACAGTCTCTTACAGCCTGATTAATATCAGCTAACTGTTCAGTTACGCGTTTTAATCTAGAAGAAAAGAAACTAATACTTTCATTTGGCTTAATTTTACAATTTAAGAACTCTGAAAACAGGGACATATGTCTTGACCGATAATCTGGCTGGAAAGTATTTGGCAAGCGTATTCCATGCCACTACCGGGTCATCAATTTCACATATCAAGTTTCTATATTCAGGGCTTACATTCATATAAAATTAAAGATAATGCCAATCGACTTCTATTTTGATAGTCGGCAATAATTTCTTTTGTAATACCCTTAACATCATTTAAATCAGGACATTTTTCAATACCTTTGACCAAAAGCCATGCATTTTTTTCATTTAAGACAAACTTCATATCTTTAGGACCATGTAAAGTAATTACATGCATCAAGTTTAGCAATATTATGCATGACATTAACAGTAGCCATATTTGAATTTCAACAAAAACCGCCCCCAATCTCTTAAGTCCTAAATTAACTTTAAACTTCAAAAGTCTGCACTAAAAATAACTCAGGGGGTGGGCCCATAACCAAAATGATGCTAAAGCAAAGTTTAAAGTTTATAAAATTAAACATTTAGCAGTAGTAGCAATAAAAGCTCCCTGAGATTATATGTTGTGCAGACATTGAAGACAATAAAGAGATTTCAAACTTAACCAATTTATTAACAATAAAAAAAAAAAAAAAAAAAAAACACAAAGAATAAATTTAAGCAATATCAGAGTCCTAGAAAAAAATATAATATAACCATCATTTTCAAACTTTCATTCATCAAATAATATTTTACCTAGTCTCCAAAAATACTGGCATTCAATACAAACAAATTGTCCTAAACAGAAATTATGCGGTTTCAAATGAAATTGGCTACACATTCAATAAGTCCATGATCAATGGTCAAGAAAGCACCTGAAATTTAAATTAAGTCCTTGAAAGCACTTAAATCTGGCCTAACTCCGCTTACAGTAGTTGAACACGAGGAATCGCCGCTAACTTATTTTAATGCCGCCTTCATGAAGAACATGGATGCCGCCCACGGCAATCACTCACATTGTAGCCTCTGGAATCAAGGAACTTATTCTGGAAAGGTCATCTTGTATACAGGAACCAAGGAACTTATTCAGGAATAGTCATCTTGTGGACAGGAACCAAGGAACTTATTCAGGAATAGTCATCTTGTGGACAGGAACCAAGGAACTTATTCACCGGACTGCACGCATCCTTCAAAAGGGGCTGGAAACCGCACACCCAAGAGCCAGGAAAGCAGGAACTAGAAGGGCTGAGCTTTTGGATCTTGGATCATATCTTTACTGCTCGCTTTAGCTGCTAGGAGCTCGAGCCAGAGCGACGCGAGATACTTATACCAGAAGTAGGCATGACGTCATTTCACGGCAACCAATCAGCTGTCGGCACGATTCGGCTTTCCAGATGACGTAACATCACGTTTCGTTTTTGCATCTTAATTAGGTTGAAACAGTCCGTTCTCAACACAAACAGTGGCAGTAAGAAAAAGAAGTAGAAGTAACTACTAAATCCCATTAAAATAAGAACTAAGCCTAATAAACATTTCAAGGAGGAGAGATGATGCAGTAAAAGGGTTACAATAAGTCATATTTTCCAACAAACATTTCTCTCAAAGCGCACATGCATAAAGCATACATTACGCATAGTCGAAATTAGAAAATTGCAACCAGAAAACTATTTGATGTGTACTCGTGATATTTATAATGACGAGGAATTTGATTCAAATCATATCAAAAACGGAATACATCGATATGAAATACTACATTTAGTAAGGAATTATAAGCTGAATATAATAAAAACATCTGCCCTGAAGATAAAGATAGTGCTGACAGATCAACTTCCAGTTCACGCGCGCCGCGACGTTTCCCTCCCTCCCCCGCAGAGCAGTGTGAAATTGATAAACAGATTACGGAATGGTTAGAGAAACAAATCGCCTCTCTGTCGTTTTCTTCATGCCTTTATCCATTTTTTGCAGCAATTCCAATTTTTGTTTGATGGACATCGAAACATGCTTTCGCTTTGTAGATCCTTCGGCAGCTCCAGAATCGGAAATTCTTTTTGACATAATCGAAAGTTCAAGCTTACTTTTATAAAATTCCTCTAACAGCCTGCAAAAAATAACAAGCCGGATCCAATTCGAAGATTCAGGAACAACACAATCTGCAACATTAACTGAAATAGATAATTTTAGCTTAGCTTATACCGTCCGTTATACATTAAACGCGCATGCGTAAATGTATTATGCGCACACGCATATGCGCATGTGTGAACGCATTATGCGTTAACGCATTTGCAGAAAGTTTGTAGCTTTGAGGTCCGGATTATGGGTGTCTGGATTAATGACTTTTGACTGTATATGCTGTAATCAATGCGGAAATAACATAAAAAGCAATTCACTTTCATTTTTGATGTTACTGCAACTGATAGGGCTGATAAGTTGAGAATTCGATGTTGTATCTATGCATATCTCCCTCTCTTAGTGAATTTTAAATGATTAAGGTAGAAGTTTTTAGTTTAGAAATATGACTAAAAGTTATTGAAGATATTGGAAACAGTCTGATTTAAAGAGGACTGACAGACTCCAGTGATGAAGATACTTTAATAATAATGAGCGTTTTTGTAATTGCAAATCTTTCTCAATATAAATATCTGTTTAAATTTGTTTTAAATCAAAGATCTCTTTTCTGTACTTTAAAAGCTATTTACTTACAATATTTTAGAAAACTATATATAAAGAATACCAGAATATTTAATATTTTCCTTTGAAATTAATTCTCAATTTTACATATACAGTAAAACCCTCTTAACACAAACTCATTTAAGTTGAACATTCGGTTAACATGAACAAAATTTCGGTCCCGGAAGTGATGTATATGATCTCATAAGAAGTTTTATTGTTAAATGTGAATTTTGGTTAGCACAAATTGCAAACTGTTTTTTAGTCTGCTGCGTCATTAGATTATATCACTTAACATGAACTTTTGAAGCTTCCATATTTTTTTCCTCCTGTTTCTCAATTAGGACTGTGTTCAGAAATTTTCCATCCTGTTTAATTAAAAACCTCGCAGAATACACTATATTCTTTGAAGAAACAAAGTATGAGTAACACTGCTCAACAATCGTAATCATCGCATCAACGATGGGTTTTGAAGAAGACGTTGCCATGTGTGCTCCAATGGAATCTTATGTACAAGCAGTTGTGTTCTAAGGTGCAAGAAATGTCATCACAAGAAAATAAGGAGGATAATATCATTCTGCCCACCTGCAAGGAAACATTACATGCCTTGGACACTGTAAAACGGTTTGATACAACATCTGAATTCACCGCTAGTTTTACGGGAACCATGAGTACTTTTGGCTGTGAAGTTGGCGATATGTAAATGCATTTTTTCAAGTTACAATACAGGAATCAATGCAGTTTTGCATTTGTTTTCTATGACAACATACATAATATAGTGCAGTACTTTTGTAACATATGTACTGCAAATGGTTATAATGTACAAAAAAATTATTCCAAAAATAAAATTTGGAGTCTCCAGTTAATTTTTCAGTCTCTTGAAATTCATGTTAATGAGAATTTACAGTATAAAAATACTAATATTATAATTTAACTTCAGTACTTTCCTTTGGTGGATTCCAAAAGCCTTGAAGGATGCAAATTCATTACATAAATTGGTAACTGTGATCCCTGATTATCGGCTTATTTAAAAGAACCACCATCACAGAAGACCAGAATAGTCCAGAAAAGTGAATAGTCACCTTAAAAAGGTTTTCCTGTATTTTGCATCAAAAGTTTAAAGTTTTTCAACCTGATGCACATTTTATTGTCATAAATGAACAAGTTATTTTATGTATGCCTATTGCTAGAATCTTCAGTGCCAAAGGGTTGGAAAATAATTTTATTTTCTAAGGTTTATTTTAGAAATTTTGCTGTATGATGTTACATACATTAAAAAATATAACTGCTTTAATTAAGTATTAGTTTAATAATAGAAGATATTGAAAAAGATAATGTTTAAAACTAAACACAGAAATTCAAGATTAAAAAAAAAAATTAATTTTATTGATCTTGTTTTTTGGCTAAAATTGTTTTTCTACTTTCTTCAAAAGAACTAACATTTCAGTATAATCTGCATTACTTAGCTTCTTACCTCTGTACCTTGAACTTTCAGTTTCATGTGATCTTCCCTTGTGGTTTTGCCATCCTTCCTTTTTTTCCAGCAATAGCCATCCCTTCTGTACCGTACCCTCTTGCGACTGTACAGTAGCATTGAGCCACTTTTCGGCCTGTAAAGAAAAAATTTATTTAGTGCATTTAAATGCATTTAAACAACTTTTCATTATAACACCATTAGAATTCTTGCAAAATTTACCTGATCTTAACTTCTTTTGATAACCAGTCTTCATGACGTTCAAAACTGATGAGCAGCGATGCTATTTCCTATGAAATAAAATGTAGTAATATAAAAATAAACTGTTAATAGCAAAGTAAAAGCAATTTTAAAAAAAAAGATAATGAAACTTGTAAGATAAGAATAGTTTACATAAGTATTTTCTAAGTTCTAATTTTTTATAAAGCAATATAAATAAGGATTTGCTATCATAATACAAGATGCAGATGTGCTGATATTATGCACCAAAATTCAATGCAGTATTTCAAAGTATACAAATGAATCTTAGGAAATACATCTTACCAACTTCAGCTATAAAAATTTATTAATATAAATATCTTGCAGGTCTTGAATAAGAATTTACAAGGTTTCTATTTGGTTATATCAATAAAGTTATCTGACTGTATGCCTAATGAGAAAGTAAAGGGTACATGAGTTCATGCATTCTTTAATTAAAATTTATATCAACCTGTCTTCTCTTTGTGAGCATTCTCCTTCTTATAGACAGCTTGAAAAATTTTGGAATGATAATGTTATCATTTGCTCAAATTTAATCAAACTTTGATAACTTAGCTCAGAAAATGAAAGAATTACCTACATATTTTCCAAGTAATTATAATAAAGTTTGTCAGTCTATTAATACAAATGAACAAGGAAACAAAAATAGTTATGGATAAAAAAATCTAATGATCAGATATGAAAACTATAAGACTGATAGACTAATGTAAAATGAAAAGTCTCCTAGTGATATGCGAAGCCATAACATTAATATAGTTCCATTTAATATTAACTGATAATTAATTTCTTAAAAATATTGGGTTGCTATGAGTTCTGGTTGTTTGAACAGCACAAGATGAACGTATATTTTATACAAAGTGAAACATCAGTCTCTCATGATGCTTTTCGGTGAGTCAATATAATTAATATCACAACAATTTGGTAACGATGCTATTGACTTGCAGAAGAGTTCTTAAATTTTTATAACATGTAAATTTCATTTGATCAAGAACATTTATTGCCAGTGCATTTTGTTAGACTAAAGAATTTATTATTTTTTTTTCCTCATATAAGTTCACCTGGACACATGGAGTAATAGTTTCTTAGCCTGAGTGATGATTGAACAGGGGTGGGTATCAATGAGGAGGCAGTAAAGAAGCAGTAGCTTCTACATTCCACTATAAGCAGACAGATCTACACATTGAAGCCCTACTCATTAACCTTGCTAAAAGCATCTAAATAGCCAATAATGGAATGTTGCATGCCTTTAGGTTTCTGCAAACTTAAATAAAGTGATACTGGGTCAACAACAGTCCATTCTTTAAGGCACTATTGAACAAACTGATCTTTAAGATAAAAGCTGCCATTAAGGATGCATGCGAATTAACAGCTTTTATTATTTCATAGCCTTCTTTCATACATCTTTTCAGATGAAATATCATGAGTTCGTATCAAAAGACTTTTACCAAGTTCTCTCACAGGCAAATGATTCTACTAAACCAGTAATTCTGGAACTTTTTAATTCATTTATTGTTAAATTGCATGGCTTAAAAGCTACTTAATGATATTGTTACGAAATGTACCGGCGCGGTGAGATAGCTAACCCGCAAAGCAGTTTTAGGGTTGCTATAAAATAGCAAGGGAAGGCAGGATTGCCACATTTGGCGGGAATTCGTCCATTTAGTGATATTTGGCAAAAAAATTGTCCATATACCATGGATGGATGGAGAACCTTCTGGAACGAATTCTTACCGGTTTAGCCCAGAATGTTCTTGAACACAAGCCGAAAGCTATATATACCCTGCTGGTCCGCAGTCAGTTAGACGCCCTCTTGTCTACCTTCGCCTCTACACGCCCAGCCAGGGCTCATTAGTTCGGAGTTTCCATCGTCATGTGTCGCATCTATATTACATCAGAGAGCCGGTACACGTCGTGTTTTCTCGATCGATAATCGCGGCATACAAGTGGAACAAGGAAGTCAGAATCTGTATGCCTCGTCTAGCGAGCTGATAGTCAGTCATTGAGCTAGTGTCTCGAAGTCTAGCGCCGAGTTCGTCGTCGAGTGCATCGAGAGAGTCTTTTACTAAAGCGAATTAGTGCATCGTCGAATTTCATCTTAGACTGTGCTGAGTCGAGAGCTATACTCTTGTGCATCGCGAGTTGTAGCGTGGAGAGTCTCGAGAGTACGTGGAGTTCCGAGAACGACCAAGCAGAGTCGGAATCTGTACTCTGGTGCTTTGCAGTGCAGCTGTCTCCACCGTTATTGCCTGTGTCACTGATTGTTCCAGCGTGTTTATAGTAGATCTTCGCCGACTGTAAAAGTGTTTTGGAGCTGTCCTGATTGATATTGGTAAATAAAGGGTGTTTCGATACTTCATCAAGTGGCGTCGTTATTCACTCCAAATCCATATGAACCCCGTAACGAATGTGAAGAAAGAAAATAATGTAACAATTGGTGTCAGCAGAAAAGAAAAATGCAACAATATATATATTTACACTGACACCTCCTTAACACGAACTTGCTTACGGCAAGCACTCAATTAACAGAAACGAAATTTCGAACCTGGCAGCAATGTATATGATCTTACAGGAAGTTTTATCTGTTAACTCGAATTTCAGTTAGTATGAATTGCAAACTGTTTTTCAGTCAGTTACATCATTAGATTTTTTTCACTTAACGTGAACTTTCGAAGTTTTTCGTTTTTTCCCCTGTTGTTTCCTTCTCAGTTTAAATTTAAATGAATTGTATATACAATAAAATATTTACATAAATCTACTGGACAGCACTTTAGTTATAAATGAACATTTAGCACACTCAAACATGTCTTTATTCTCTAAAAGCTCTAGCAGCAGTCCTGTTTGATAGTCCTGTAGACGACATTCTGGTTGTTTTCAGAACACAAATAATGCTAAGTTATAAGTGGTAAGTCCTGACTGAGAGGAAGCAGAAGAGATGGATCTGCAAACAAAACTAGAAAAATTAGATCCTGGTGTAAATAAGTAAACTATACTTTCCAAAAAATATGGAATTAGGAAAATCTGCCTTATCCACAATACTGAAAGATCACGAAAATATTCTTAATGCTTCTGCAACGTCTCTGTGCTAAAAATGGAGCTACTGAAACTTTACTTCCAGAATAGTCAGCCATTATACACTCATGTCCATAAATAAAGGATAATGCAAAATCAGGCAGAGGAAGAGTTAGAAGCAAAACAAATCTGACTTATTTGTAAAGCTTATTTATTAAACAAAAGGTAAACAGTAAAAAAAGATGCTATATGTTTGATATTATTAAAAAAAATTAGTGATTTTTTCTCCGTGGAGCAAATTACAAAAAAAAAAAAAAAAAAAAAAAAAAAAAAAAACTATTTACAAAAAACCAATATTACATGGTTAGTATGATTGTTAATACATTGTATGTCTCACAGACGATGCAATACAGTCAGTACAACCCCTAGGCATGCTGAGTATCAAATTATTGATCTGATCTTGGTGGATATTACACCACTCAAAAATCAATGTTCTCCGAAGTTCCCGTAGACACGTAGGAGGAGGTTGACGGGCCAAGCATTCCTCATTCGGCGTTGTAACTCTGGGGCGACCTGTGCTGTAACGTCTACTCACATTACCATCATCTTGGAATCGTTGCCAAAGCCTGGAGATGACACTCTGGGCAATTCCAAGTTCGTCTGATACTTCCAGTGGGGTACGCCCACATTCCAGACGGCCGATAATTCTACCACGTAAAAAATCATCCAAATGCGTCCTTTGTGTCATAACTATTGGGTTATTGCACTGAAATGCTTATAAAGCACCTGCGAACAATTTTACTTCTTTGCCTGTATTCCTTATATATCACTCTCTTACACTCTCGTCATTGTGACGTACCATCGGTGTCATCTGGTTACTTCCTGAAATTTGCATATGATTCTTGAAGATGTGTGTAGTGATTTTACAGGTGATATATATATATTTTAGATTTCGATTTCCGCATGACTCCGAATTATCCTTAATTTATGGACATGAGTGTATTTAAGTGGCCTACAATTCAATGTAAAGCAAATGAGATCGCACAAAACTTAGAAATTCAAGATTTCAGTTCTTCCACTGCCCGGCTGTACCATTTCTGAAAGAGACGCTCAATTTCATCGTTTAAGATTTATGGTGAAGGAAATAAAGTTGATACATAAGGAGCAAACACTTGGTTGTGCGAATTTGATCAAGTGAAAGAAAAAGTGATAAACTTGAATTATGTCTATAATATGGATGAAATTAGATTTTTTAAACTCTTTTAGCAACTGTAGCATTGGAATAAAATGTGATCAGCAGAATCGCAGAACATGCATTAAACAACATTTAACAGTTATCCTTGTATGTAACGTAGCGGCAGTGACCAACATCGTCTTTAGGTAACCCAAAAATCCCAGAAAGAAACCACATTGTTTTAAGAACATACACAGCACTACTCTCACCGTAAGGTGGTGTGTGTATTTAATTATGGCAAAGCACACTAGGGCTATCTGCCTAAAGGAATGGATGCCTTCGTGGAGGACTTTCTAAGGGAAACTGGCTCGTATACACGTTACACATGGGGAAAAACCATGAAAACACCCATGCAGCCAGCCCGTTCGCGGGATTCGAACCTCGGACCGAACTACCAGTGTTCAGCGATTTTACCGCTCGGCTGCTGGTGGGCCTCACCGTAAGGAGGCTTGGATTGACAGCTCATCATTTCGCGTCTTTTTCATTTAAAACGTTGAATAGAGGCTCATAATAGTCCTATTCTTATGACACTGGACATAAATATATTCATAACATACATGATCTGAGCTTAACTTCTCACCCTCCCCAATCAACAAGTAATCTTCAGCTTTTGAATAAAAGCATCACTGCTCTGCCTTATCAGAAGTGACTGCTGCTGAAAAGGACACAAAAATCTAACATGGAGCTAGGTACAGTACAAAGTCCGTAATCTGGACTCGTCGGGATTTCGGCGATTCCGGATTAGGGGTTTTTCCGGATTATAGATCATAAATTTAAATTTGGTAAGAT